TTCGGCGCGGTTATCGATTGCGAGCGTCAGCTGGTGACTATACGAGATCCTAGTGGGGGAGTTCTTTCGGTTTACGGCGAGGGTACACGTTCTGGATCAGCCTTTTGTTCGGCTGCTAGGGCGAGGCAGTGTTTACAGCAGGGCTGTAAGGGTTTTGTGGCGTATGTGATGGATACGCGAGTGATCTCCGAAAGACCGAGTTCAGTGGATGAAGTTCCGGTGGTGCGTGAGTTTCCAGACGTTTTTCCCGAAGAGTTACCAGGTGTGCCTCCCGTGAGGCAAGTGGAGTTCGGTATCGATTTGGTTCCGGGAGCCGCGCCTATCGCTAAGGTGCCGTATCGCCTTGCGCCTCCAGAGATGCAAGAGTTATCCTCGCAGCTTCAGGAGCTGCTGGGGAAGGGGTTTATTCGGCCGAGTAGCTCGCCGTGGGGAGCACCCATCCTGTTTGTGAAGAAGAAAGATGGCTCGCATCGCATGTGTATTGATTACCGGGAATTGAATAAGCTGACGGTCAAGAACCGTTACCCGTTGCCGAGGATCGACGATTTATTCGATCAGTTACAGGGAGCATCTTGGTTCTCCAAGATTGATTTGAGGTCGGGCTATCATCAGGTGAGAGTGCGGGACGAGGACGTCCAGAAGACAGCATTCAGGACGCGTTATGGGCATTATGAGTTTGTGGTGATGCCTTTTGGGCTCACCAATGCCCCGGCTGTGTTCATGGACCTCATGAACAGGGTATGTCGGCCGATGTTGGATCGGTCGGTGATTGTGTTCATTGATGATATTCTGGTATATTCGAGATCTAGAGAGCAACACGAGGAGCATTTGAGGGAGGTTCTTGGAGTTTTGAGATCGGAGAAACTTTATGCAAAGTTTTCCAAGTGCGATTTCTGGTTGCGGGAGGTCCAGTTTCTGGGACACCTCGTTAACCAGAAAGGGATATTGGTCGATCCGGCCAAGGTTGACGCAGTGATGAGGTGGGAGGTGCCAAGGTCACCTTCTGAGATCCGGAGTTTCCTTGGGTTGGCAGGGTATTATCGGAGGTTTATTAAGGATTTCTCCAAGATTGCAGTTCCACTCACCAGATTGACCCGGAAGGGTGTTGCATTTTTATGGGGTCCCGAGCAGCAGACCTCCTTTGAGACGCTTCGCCAGAGGTTGTGTGAAGCTCCGGTATTAGCTCTTCCGGAAGGGATGGAAGGTTTTGTGGTATTCTGTGATGCATCGATTTTAGGACTGGGAGCGGTACTGATGCAGAAGGGACATGTGATAGCATATGCATCGAGGCAGTTGAAGCCTCACGAGACGAGGTACCCCACACATGATTTGGAGTTGGGGGCAGTGGTGTTCGCCCTCAAGATTTGGCGGCACTACTTGTATGGGGTTCGTTGTACGATTTACACGGACCATAAGAGCTTGAAGTACTTGATGGATCAGCCTAACCTAAATATGCGGCAAAGGAGGTGGTTAGATGTGGTCAAGGATTATGATTGCGAGATCTTGTACCACCCGGGCAAGGCTAATGTGGTAGCCGACGCGTTGAGTCGCAGGGCGGAGAGTACTCCACTGCGAAATGTATGTTTGAGATTGACCGTGATAGCTCCAGTTCTGGACGCCATTCGTGGGGCACAGGCCGAGGCTGTGCGTCCGGAGATGCAGAAGAGAGAGCGGGTCGTTGGGTTGGTTTCTGAGTTTGTATCGGATAGTCGAGGGCTTATGACTTATCAGGGCCGGATCTGGGTACCGTTTGTGGGCGGTACGCGTACTACATTGATGGAGGAGGCTCATAGATCGAAATTCTCGATCCATCCCGGGGCTACAAAGATGTATTTGGACTTAAGAAAGGAGTATTGGTGGCCTTGTATGAAGAGGGATGTCGCATGGTTTGTCGAGAGGTGTTTGACCTGTCGAAGGGTAAAGGCCGAACACCAGAGACCGCATGGCAAGTTGCAGCCATTGGAGGTTCCCGAGTGGAAATGGGAACAGATCACTATGGATTTCATCACCAAATTGCCGAGGACTGCCAGAGGAGTCGATGCAATTTGGGTGATTGTGGATAGGTTGACAAAGAGCGCTCACTTTCTTGCCATCGGTGAGAGTTCTTCGGCGGAGAAGTTGGCGGAGATTTATGTGAGGGAGGTTGTATCTCGGCATGGGGTGCCGATCTCGATTGTTTCAGACCGCGATGTGCGTTTCACTTCCCGGTTCTGGAAGAAATTTCATGAGGAGTTGGGTACTAAGTTGCATTTTAGTACCGCATATCACCCCCAGACCGATGGCCAGAGTGAGCGGATGATTCAGACACTTGAGGACATGCTTCGAGCATGTGTATTGGACTTCGGGGGTAGTTGGGATATGTATTTGCCCTTGGCAGAGTTTTCCTACAATAACAGCCATCATTCGAGCATCGGTATGCCGCCCTTTGAGCTGTTGTATGGTAGAAGGTGTCGGACTCCCATTTGTTGGGGAGAGGTTGGGCAAAGGGTAATGGGCAGTACAGAGATCGTCAATCAGATGACAGAGCAGATTCAGCTGGTCAGACAGAGGTTATTGACCACTCAGAGCCGACAAAAGAGTTATGCGGATAGACGTCGGTCTGAGCTGGAATTCCAGGTCGGTGACTTCGTTCTCCTGAAGGTTTCTCCTTGGAAAGGAGTGATCCGGTTCAGGAAGAGGGGCAAATTGGGGCCCCGGTTTATAGGTCCATTTCATGTGATGGCAAGGGTAGGCCGGGTAGCCTATCGGCTGGAGTTACCAGCAGAGTTGGGGCAGATTCACAACACTTTTCATGTATCGCAATTGAGGAAATGTATAGCCGATGAGTCGGCAGTGGTTCCATTAGAGGATATTCAGGTAGATGCAAGCCTGAATTATGCTGAGAGACCAGTGGCCATTAGGGATCGGAAGATCAAGATTTGAGGAACAAGGA